CCTTAGTTTTCGGAATGGACGCAGTTCAACCAGTCAAACTGGAAATACCATCCCTACGCATCATACTCGCAAGTAAGCTACCGGAAGCTGAATGGGTAAGAGCGAGGTATGAAGAGCTTTTATTCCTCGATGAACGACAATTAAGAGCTTTCCATCATGTACAAGTCTACCAAAGACGCATTGCGCGTCATTTCAATAAAAGGGTAAAACCCGGAAATATAAAAGAAGGTGATTTTGTACTAAAGGAGGTTAGGGGTCCACCAACCGATCCAAGAGGGAAATTCAAACCTAATTGGATAGGTCCCTACCGCATAATTGAAATCCTATCGAGAAGAGTCGTCAAATTAATGGATATCGAAGGAGAATAAATTAGCCAATTAATAAACATTGATCGACTTAAGAAATATTACATATGAAATCCGGATAAACTCGTTCACTCATACAACCAATTTTAATTAGCATTCAATTGAAAGATTCTAAGTGTTATGCATTTTACCAAATAACATGGTAAAATACATAACACTTGGGGGGTAATTTAGAAATAATAAACCGTTCTAAGTGTTCGGATTTTTATAGAACATCACGAAAAAATCTTTACCCTTGGGGGGTAATAATACATAATTAATTTTTTTTTTCGAGACATTCGTAGCACAGGTATCACACGCAACTGGAGTATTTGCGCGCGGATGTCACGTGCAACAGATTTCGTTGCGCGCACCACCTGATGATGAACTGCGAACCCGAATTTTTAGGTTTGAACGAAGTTGCGACTTCTACTTGCGGCTAAAAGAGGGTGTTTCTTAAATATAACATATACTCGGAAAATAAAATTAAACTTTGATTTAATTCTTTTTGAACAAGGTTTGATTAATTTTTCATTTAATTTCTACCCAAGAGATTAAAGAAAAATAAAAAATATACATAAAAAAAACATTAGAACTACGCAAAGACCTGATTTTGTAATGCGAATACGTAGGCAATCTTTATGATTCGGTCATATCAAAATATAAAAATATAAAGCTCATTTTATTTCATTCAAATTTCAAAGAAAAGAGAGACATTGTATTGTAAACAAAAAAAAAACATAGTAGTGATTACACTTTATTCAATTTAAAACTAATAGCGAAACTGTGTAACACTCTAAGGTTTTACTATGTCCTCAATTGTCACGGACGATGGAGGAGTAGTTTCCATCGCAGTATTTTCATAAACCTTAGAGCTTTATCCTACGCTCTTCTTCTTGACCCATACATTGTTCTTCAATTTGGGAATGCATCAAAGGCTTAGGTGGATTACGAGCCGTGGCGGCTTGATATTGAGATTGAGCCTTGTTTAATTCACCCTTATCCGCCGCATTCATCCAAGCTTTCTAAAAGGAAGATAATGCAATACTCGTAGTAGGATTTTGTACTACCCATCTAGGAAGACTTGACCAATATTCCATCCAACGAAAAATTCGCTCGGGTTTAAAAATCACATCTTTAGGGGCATCACAATCTTGCGGGGGAATAGTTTGTTTCATCCCGTATTGTCTCATTACCCTGCAAGGAAAAATATAAGTAGTACTAGATAGGACTAAAAGCCTAATATAAGGGCAATTGAGACTATTCCCAACCATACTATTTATGTTCCACCAAGGAATCACAAAGCATATGTTAGGAACCCCATGATAGAAAAACGACATCCATTCCTCTTCATTCTTATGCTTATAAAGGATTCGACGTCCAGGGAATGTCCTTACTCCATTAGCCTCAAGGTTTTGTGGCTGATTAACAATTCGCAAACACTCCATGAGCCAAATCTAAAAATTAAAAAAAAAAATAGTTTGCGATTTTTTACACAAGCAGGTGGCGCGTGCAACAAAACCAGTTGTACGCGCCATCTGCGCGCAGCGCAGAAGATTGCGCTGGTCATGCCAGCGCAACTTCGTAACTTGCGCTGATAAACGACGAAAAAAAAAACGTACGTGTAATAAGAGTGGACTTCCCGTGAAACTGTTTTCATTAGGGTCTCCTCTAAGGCGATTCAACATAGAACGGTTTCCGCCAAAGCCAAAGGAGCGGGTGAATAACATCCCTCTATTTGCTCTACTATGGAAACCATGGAATAATCTCCGTATTCTTTGCCTGTGCTAAGTAAACAATTAACAACAAGACAATAACATAAAGCACGAATTTTAAAGCGTTGTTTAGTCATGTTGTCACAAGGGGCGACGAAATGTTTAATAAATTAAATCAAGTTCACGCCTTCTTCAGTTCCAATATTAGTCATATCATTGTCGGACAAGCCGAAAATTCTTTGGAATATAGGTTTGGGATCCAACAAGGTAGGCGAATAAGTCACAGGGAGAGTATTTGTAGGGAAGCCTAGCAAGGCCTCGAACTCACCGGGTAGGGGGACAATTTCGTCCCCTTTAAACAAGAAAATATGGTGGTTAGAGTCCCAATGGTTGACTGCGGCATGAAGAAAATCAAAATTAATCACTAGTTGCATATAATTCAATAGAGGGTATAGGTGGTAAATTTTGAAAGCTAGTTTGTCTTCGGTTGAAAGGGAAGTGACCCATTGCTTCAAATGTTGTTCAAAGGTCTTCGCCATTGTTCAAAAAAAAAAGAGTGAGAATTTAGAGAGATTAATTCTTTTTAATTTCTTATGATATTACTAAGCGAATGAATGCGAGATGATCAAAATCCTACACAAAACCACGTTTAAATAGACCCAAGAGGGGCAAATTTTCGGCAAATTTGACTCATGAGTTGCGCGCGACATCCGCGTGCATCCAATTCACATGCGTGCGACAACCGCGTGCAACTCATTTAGTTGCGCGAGTCTCCCCTGTCGCAGCATGTGAATTAGATTTATTTCCTTATTTTTGCTTACATAAGGAAGAAATCTTCACGAAATCTTAAGACAGATCATGCCCTTGCCTTTTAACCCTTTGTGTCCCTTTTCTTTCCTACTTTATTATTTTCTTTTTATTTTCTTTTTTTTATTAAATTCCTTATTTTCTTTTCTTATTTTCTTTTTTCTCTTTTTCTTCCTTTTTGCTTTCTTTTCTCCTTCATTTTTTTTTGAGTTTTGGTTATTTTTTTCGAGGGGGGGTAAGTCAGGAACCCTTTCCCTCCCTCAAAAAAAATTTTTTTTGCTTTTTTTTTAAAAAAATAAAAAAAATAAAATAATAATAAATAAAGATAAAAAATAAAAATAATAATAAATACGTACACATGTAAACAAAAAAATAAAAATAATGATGACATATATACAAATGTGTCATATGTACAAAAATGCAAAAAAAAAATATATACATCTGTTTCCTAAAATAAATAACAATATGTGTACAAAAGGAATCAGGGTGCTCAACAACTGCTAGACGGTTGCTGCACATCCTTCAAAATCAAAAACGAAGATTAATACATGAAATATAATAACTTCGTTGATTAGAAAAGAAATAAAACTTATCGCGATCATCCGATGATCACGACATGATAAAGTCACGAGGGCTCTCTGATAAGCAGCTCGGAAAGCACGTATAGTCCTTATCATGCCGTTCATGGTTTCCCGCGGAACCTGTTCCAATAATACAAGGAAAGTTAGTAAACAAATGTATATGAAACAAAAAATAAATAGAAATGTTTAAGTACATATACTCAAAAGACATACCGACTCAACCGTCTCAGGTACACACGGTATCCCCTCATCATCCTCCGTTGCTGGAAGGGTCTCATGAATTACCGATCCAACAACATTTGTATACCTAGCTCGACTCGCTAAAAAAATATATGACAAAAAATGATAAATGATAAAAGGGTCAAAGTTCCGAAAATAAATAGAAACAATGAAAAGAGATAGTTAGAGTACTAACCGGAACAAAAGTTGGAAAAGAAGTCAGCCTGGATGCAATAAAAGCTGGATAAGAAACCTCTGGCAACACTAGCTGCTCCGCTGGATAACCAAGGATCGCCTGAGCTCGATCCTTGGTAGACAGCAAGTCCGGACGTAACATCCAGATCGGAGGATCCGCAGGAACCAAAGGCTCCTCGGACGAAATCTGCCAGAGAACACGCTCGCCTAATAACCTAGCGTCTGTCCTCTAGAGCACCGAGAGTCCCGGATAGAGGGCCCGGAAACGGTAACAAACCATGCCAGGCCGGATAACCTCAAGGACTCCAACGATAAAACTCCAAGGACGAAGATCGATCTATAAAACACAACCACATGAAAAATCGTCAGAAAATAAATAAAATAAAAAAATGCACATATAGTTGGAATACTCACCAACGCACGAGTCGCGAAAGGATCCTCTAGCGAAAGTCGCCGGCAGAAGTGGCTTGTCTCTTCTTAATCATGACCAATCGATGGCCGATAAGAAAACGAGTAGCCCAAAGCATCCTGTGGGCTAAGAAAGGCAGGTACGAGTATCCCCAAGCCTGAAACCAAGACAAGATAAGCCTAAAGGAGAAAAGCAAAAGTAATAACCGAAAGAAGCTTAAAACACGTACCTCAAGGATACGACCATGCCACGTAAGGGAGATCCGAGGCACCTTAGTACCTGCTGCGGAATCCATCACCCGAGTCGCCTTGCCCAAAGCTGTAAGCATACGGGCATACAATACCTCCGCAAACCTGAGGTCACCTACTTGCCCCAAATCACTAAGGCAAATAAGTAACCCAATGGCGAAATGCTCTCCTCGATCACTTAATATAGTGACGGAAAGAACGTGAGCAATGTATATCCGAGCCAGCTGCTCAGGTGTACACTGCCGATCAAGCTCGTCAGCCGACAACTCGTCGACAAGAACCGAGTACGGACAAGACTGCACGTACACGTGAAAGGCCGACGCAAGACGGTCCCCCACAAGGTCGCGCAGTCTCTTGTCTGACCCTTTATCAAACTCTATGACTACGGGCTCACCTCCAAAAGGAAAACCCGTAATCATAGAGAAATCGAAAGGGGTAATTGTCATCTCTCCCCATAGAAAGTAGAAAGTGTTGGTGGAATCCTACCAAAACTCCAGCAATCCACGGAGGAAAGCTGACGATGCAGGCTGACTTGATAAATCCCGAAGAGCCGCCTGCTGGGAGTCAATCCCAAAAAGTGCCACAATCTCTTTTGCAAGCTCGGACAAACTTTCAAAACGGGCTCGCAGGTCACCAGAGCCGTATAAACGCATGCTAGGCCCACTCTAAGGAAAATAAAAAGAATAAAAATAAAAAACGGTTATGGTTTAAAAAGGAGAAGAGACAAAAGATGAAAGAGACAAAGGCGCGAAGAACTCACGATGCCGCGCCACCCTCTGATCGAGACATGATGATCTGGGTCCCACTTAAGGACCGTAGGGTCCTAGTTGGGAGGAGCCTCCCAAACCACATCCTCATAGCGACGTCGATCGGCTGCAACGCATCGCTCTCGAACCTCCTCTCGAGGACGGGTCATCCTCTTCCGACGGCGAACCGCCTCGTTAGGACCACTTAGAATCTCCTCAGCATCGATAAATGGAGGCGAATCCATGCTATGATGGATAAAGTCTCTTTATTAGTTTAATTTATTTCCTAATCTAAACTAATATACGTATTCTAGACCCATTTCGGCAGCATAACAGCTGCCGATAGGGCAAACACGAAAATCGAATGCCACCCATACTTGGGGGCTACAATACCTGCAGTTAAACTCGGTAAATGGGGGCTTCTAACACCCATAAAAGCCATCCTATACCAGTTTTAACTAAGTATTCAAGGGATTGTATTTCAAAATCTCAAAGAATCAACTACTTCTAGTCGAATAAAAGTAATATAAACACAATTATCGTCTACCAAACAATCTTGAAGTTTGAATATGGCAAAAATAGGCTAAGTATACACTTCGCGCCAATTTTTTCGGATTCAAAATTTTCAAAATATTAGTTATTGAAGTAAAACTAGTTACAATACTACAATTACTGCATGATTGACAAGTATAACAAAAATAAGCAAACAAAATAACAGAAAATCAAACCAAATTCGAGTAGAATTGCAAAAACGCACTCAAACAAAGAAATGCTCATACAAGGTTCAATAATTAACCATTTTTCATGAAATTTGTTGCAAAACACTCCTTAAACATAGCATGACAACGTCGAGCAAACAATTTTAAGAAAGACAAACTTTTAAATAAAACGGATGTTCAGTAAATTACCGAACATCCGGTATAAAGTAACAATAAAATGTGCAAAAGTTACACTAAAACGCACAAAAGTTACCCTGACATATATAAAAGTTATTTATGCTTCATTGATAAATTTGACAAAAGTGACACTAAATTTGACAAAAGTGACACTAAATCTGACAAAAGGGTACCCGATGTTCAGTAAATTACTCAAAACCGGGTGTATACAAAAGTTTTCCGAATCAAAAACCCCCAAATTCGAAATTTAGGGGTTTAACGATTCGAAAAACGTTCAATTCAGCCGAAAAATAACAAGTTTTAGCTAAAAACTTACATTGGATTATGGCAAATATGAATTAAGGATGAAATTTACTTCCTTTAGCTTCAAAAACATAAGAAACCGAGCTCTTTAGAGAGAGAAAGAGGCGAAAATAGATGAAGGAAGGAGAGAGAAAGCGAAATGAAAAATCGCGTTTTGCGATTTTCTTTTTGCTGAACTGAGTGTCGTGGGCAACTGAATCAGTTGCGCGTGACAGGCAAGCGCAACTCAGAAAGATGCGCGCGTCTGGCCAGCGCGACCTACTGAGTTGAGTGCGGATACTGGTCACTAAAATGACCGAAATCTTGATTTTGATCCGTTTGATTATTTTTAACGGTTTTTGCTCGTTATTAGACGTAATGGCATGCAAATTATCAAAATATTTTTAAATTTCTTTGCATATTGTAGTTTGTTTTCTTCTTTGTTAGTTTTTTGCATCATTCTTGCATGCACACCGTGCTTTGTGCCTTCCCCAAGCATACGTTTTGAACATTTTTCGTAAGAGTGCCTTAAGACGTTCCATGGTGGTGCTTTACGTAAAAGCACTCATGGACAGGTTTGTCATTTTACTTTACTAACGTTACAAATGTCCGGGTTTTCTTCTTTTTTCACGTCCGGAGCAAAAAGGAAGGCGTTTTCATGCAGTGTAAAAATGCAAATGGCGTATCGTACAGCGTAAAATTGTACGGCGTAGGTGTTGTGTAAAATTTCACTTCAACCCAAGCTTTGCGAGATCTACCTCTCGGAACTAAAAGGTAGAGAATTACTGTAGGCGTTAGCTCACGAGTCGACAGGCGCGCCGAACCATCAGGAACAGGCACTTCTTGAATGGAAGCAAATACGGTAGTTAGTGCGCTTGCTAACTTACCGGACATTTAAGGTGTCAGACAACCCCCTGTATAAAGAAGCGACGAGACGATGTCGCACCTATGTAGTCACGTGCCCCCAGTCTTGAGATACGTGTACTCATCTTGTGGACAAAACTACCGAGAGAGTTGCTGACTTTCTTCCCTCTCACTTGATTTTGGATATATGCCTCCAGTCCTAAGACGTGTATTTCTATCTTGTGGACATCCGGCTTGAATACCAGACCATTTCGGCTCGAATACCGAAAACCCCTTTTCATCTTTTTTACATTATTAAAGTCAGGCTAAAGTTTCAATGACATATCGAGGGACTTTAGACCAACGATGGCACAATTGAGAGGAAATCATTCCCTTTTATCCCTTTAAAACCGATCTCTTCTCATGAATTGACATCACCCAGAACACCTTTACTTGTAAATGTAACACCCCCAAATCTTCTTCTACGGAAATACTAGTATTATCCGTATAATTAAACCGTAGAGATAGACTTAGGCGTATTACCGTCGCGTGATTACGCAAGGCTACTCAACTTACTAAAAATAACAATACTTTGCAGCGGAAACTCAAATACTCTTATTTATTAATAATAACCATAATAGTAACCAATGTTATGAGTACTCAAAATAGATACAAGACCAAATTCCTAATTTAGTGAAAACCAATCCCGGGACTCCAATGCATCATTTATTGACTCCAACCTGAAAATAAGCAACACTGCTTACCATTACGGTAAACAGGGCAAACCAAAGCAAATAAGAAGTACGAGTTAGCAAAATATGCTAAGTACGATAAGTGCAAGATAATTAAACTTAATTTATTAGCAAACATGCTTTAAAACCAGTTTCCAATAAATAATCCAATAATACCAAACTCATGGTGTAAAACCAATTTACAATAAATCCAATATCAATAATCAATAAAACCAATTCCAATTATTTTAAAAAAAAAAAAAAAAACGATTCCTCATATTAAAACCAATTTCTCTCCCAAGTGTGCACACCCCCCAAGTTAGTCTCCTTAGGTTACAAGGCTATTCTTGAGGAAAGACCCAGTCATGCAAAGTCCAAGGCCTTATCAATAAACCAAATCCACATAGTGTGATTACCAACATGCTTATAAAGCATAATAATAAATCAATGATTCAATAAATACTCTTTTAAATCCAATAATTCAACCTTTAATGAAAACAATCCAAACTCCTTTTCAATAAATCCAACTTGCTTTCAAAATCAATCCTTTTCAAACATGAATAATAAATTACTTAATCAAAACATGTTATAAAAATTAATACTCCAATTCAATTACTAAAACCAACCTTTTAAACATACTTTTATTTCATAAACCACAATTCAAGTCAATTTAATTCAAGCAACATAAATCATTCAAACATTTTCATTCAAATCGATCACTTTCAAGGTATCTAGCCACCTAACGTACCTTGATCTTCGCTTAGCCAACAACACTTCAAAAGAACTCTAAATTAGCTTGATCAAAAACACCCTACAAATAAATATAACCTTAATCAATATAAGGTTAACAAATAATCACAAAAAATTAAATTAAACCCTCCCAACTATATGTACATGAACCTCTTAAATTAATTCAACATGAACATTATTAAAATCTGATTTTATATAATTAAAACTACTCATAATAATTTTATATTAATCTCTCATAATAATAATAATAATTGAATAAGAGAAAAGGAGAAGAAAAGAATTGGATTTGCACAGGAAATAATAGGCAGAACTTTCAGAGGCTATAACTCCTTCTATATAGTTCCGAATTGAGTTATGTTTGAGCCTAACCTCAAGGATTGTTTGAGAGGAAAAACTTTTTGTGAAACATCAATACCCCAAAAACTGACCAGAAGTTCCCGAAAATTGGCTTCAAAGATGAACAGGATGATTTGTGTAAAATTGAGGAGAAGAAAAGAAGAGAATTGGTGTGAAGAATGTGAGAGGTATGAAGGGGTATTTATAGGCTAGTATGAGCATGAATTATGGTAGGAAAATGTAGGAAGAATTATGGTAATTAGCATTTAACAGATTACTTGGAGAAGTGAGCAAAGATTTAAGGAAAGTTTTGATATTTGAAGGGATTGTGTATAATTGAATAGGGAAGGTATGTATGTCATGAAAAATATTAAGGAAATTGGAATTACTTGGGGAATAATTAAGAAGAATGAATGGCAAGAAAATTTAATGATTGGATATCAAAAAGATGGAGAATTAGAATTATGGAAAATAGGAGATTTTAAGAAGATAATTAAAAATACAAATTACCAAAATATTTTCCCAAAATCTTCATGGGATGGCCGAAATTTTTGAGCTTTCCTAATCTCATATTTTCAGGCCTCCTATTTAGTATTTAGGAATAAATTTTTGCTAGTTTTAAGGAATTAAAAATAATTGTGTAAATAATATTTATTATAATAAAAAATTAAATAATAAAATGCCAAATATTCACCAAATAATTTAACTAAATATAAATCAGATTTTCACATAGGAAAATCCGAAATTATTAGCTAATTAATTGGGATTTTTGGACCTATTAAAATAATAATAAAATTTAGCTTTTTCCTTAATTAAAATATCCGAAATATATAAATAATCCGGTTTTTAAAATAGAATAATGGATAATAAATCTTATCCAAAATAATGATTAGTTTTCAAAATATTTTTGGCGCCGAAATTCAAATATCATTTTGGCTCAAAGATTTAAATAGTAAGTTGAATTACTAAAATACCCTTTTTAGAAAACAATAATTAATTAGGAAAATACATACGAAGATACGGGGTATTACAGTCTACCCCCCTTAAAATAAGTTTCGACCCGAAACTTAGCCATAAGAAACGAAAATTATTTTTAAATTATTGGTTCATGCACATCCTAACTTGACTCAAGACTCCAACTAAACTTAAATAAGACTCGAAATCACTCAAAAATGACTCGAAAAGTAGACGCGCGAAACTCTATCGCCCTCTACCCCCCTTAAGAGGAGTTATGCCCCCGTAACTCGACCATTAACCTTAGACAAACAGTTTTGGGTAATATTTCCTCATATCAGCCTCAGCTTCCCATGTAGCCTCTTCAGTTTTCTAATTTGACCACAATACTTTCACAATGCTCACATCATTGTTCCTTGTGCTCCTGACCTTAGAGTCAAGAATCTTTACTGGTCTTTCCTCATAAGTCAAATTCTCATCCATCTCAATGGTTTCTGGTTGTAACACATGTGTCACATTAAGAATATACTTTCGAATTTGGCTCACATGGAACACATTGTGAACCCTTTCAAGCTCGTTAGGCAAATCCAACTTAAAAGCCACTTTTCCCACTTTCTGAATGATCTCATAAGCCCCTATGTACTTTGGGCTTAATTTCCCTTTCTTCCCGTACCTCATCACACCTTTCATGGGTGAAATCTTTAACAAAACTTTCTCTCCTACTTCATATTCCTCTACCTTCCTTTTAAAATCAGCATAACTTTTCTATCGATCTTGGGCTGCTTTAATCTTTTCTTGGATCAACTTGACCTGCTTCACCATATCCTCAATCATTTCTGGTCCAAGTACCATAGTTTCACTTACATATCATTCCAACATATTGGGCTTCTACACTTTCGATCATACAAAGCTTTAAACGATGCCATCCCAATGCTTGCATGGTAACTGTTGTTATAAGAGAACTCTATCAAATCCAAGTGGTCTTCCCAAGACCCTTGATACTCCATCACACAAGCTCTTAACATTTCCTCTAATGTCTGAATCGTTCTTTCTGTCTGACCATCTGTCGTAGGATGAAATATTGTGCTCATTAACAACTTAGTTCCCATCGCCTTTTGCAAACTTTGCCAAAAGTTAGACAAAAACCTTGAATCTCTATCCGAAATGATATCCGTGGGTACCCCATGGTACTTCACCACAAACTTCACATAAGCTCTTCCTAACTGATCCATGGTCCAAGTACTTCTCATGGGTATGAACGCTGCTGACTTCGTCAACCTGTCCACTATTACCCAAATAGTGTCATTCCCTGCCTTGGTCTTTGGCAAGGCTCCCACAAAATCCATAGAAATCGAATCCCATTTCCACTTGGGCACCTCCAAGGATTGGACCTTTCCTTGAGGCCTGTGATGCTCAATCTTCACCTTCTGGCATGTCAAACACTTAGCCACAAATTCAACCACTTCTCTCTTCATATTGGGCCACCAAAATGTCTTCTTCATGTCCTTATACAACTTATCCCCTCTAGGATGCATTGAATAGGGAGAATTATGGGCTTCTTCCATCAATCTTTGCTTCAAATCACCACGATTCTACGGTATACACCATCTTCCCTTAAAAGGAATACTTCCCTCATTACCAATGGTGAAATCCAACACTTTCCCTTCATCAATCTTCTTCTTGATTGCTTTCAACTTCTCATCTTCCAATTTCTATCCCTTATATCATCATAAATGGATAGTTGAACCACCAAGGCATTCAACATCCTTGCCACTCCACCATGTTCCATCACCTCCAAGTTCAACTTCTGAAATTCCACACACAACTGATCTGGGACTACCATCACATTCACCGTATGTTCTGACTTTCAGCTCAAAGCATCTTCCACCACATTAGCCTTTCCTTCATGATATTGAATATCCAATGTATAATCACCCATATACTCCAACCATCGTCTATGTCTCCCATTCAAGTGCGTCTAGGTGAAAATGTACTTCAAACTCTTATGATCCGTGAAAATCCTACAAGTCACCTCATACAAGTAATGTCTCTAAGTCTTCAAGGAAAACACTATTGCAGCTAACTCCAAATCATGGGTTGGGTAATTCCCTTCGTGAACCTTCAACTGCCTCGAGGCATACGCAATCACCCTTTGATTCTGCATCAACACACATCCCAATCCCAACCTCGATGCATCACTATACACGTCATATAGATCACTCCCTTTCGGCAAAGCCAGCACAGGTGTTGTGGTCAACCTTTCTTTCAAGATCTTAAATGCCTCCTCACACTCTTGGGTCCATGAGAACTTATGCTCCTTCTTCATCAAACTTGTCATGGTCTTCGCGATCATTGAAAAATCCTTCACAAACCTTCTGTAATAGCCTGCTAAACCCAAGAAACTCCTTACATCCGACACATTCTTTAGGGTTGGCCAATCACTCACAGCTCGAATCTTGCTTGGGTCCACTGAAACTCCGTCCTTGGAAATCACATGGCCCAAAAATGCTACTTTCTCCAACCAAAACTCACACTTAGACAACTTGGCATACAACTGATGCTCTCTTAAACATGACAACACTTGTCTCAAATGCTTCTTATGCTCTTCTTCATCCTTTGAATATATCAAAATATCATCAATAAACACCACTAAAAACTTGTACTAGTATGGCCTGAAAATCCTATGCATCAAGTCCATGAACACTGCAGGTGCATTGGTCAAGCCAAATGGCATAATTGCAAACTCATAATGACCATAACGGGTCCTGAAAGCACTCTTTGCAATATCTTGCTCCGCAATTCTCAACTAGTGATAACCCGATCTCAAATCTATCTTTGAGAATACCCCTGCTCCTTTCAACTGGTCAAACAAATTATCGATCCTTGGTAATGGATACTTATTCTTCACTGTCACCTTGTTCAACTCTCGATAATCTATACACAACCTCATACTTCCATCTTTCTTCTTCACAAACAATACTAGAGCTCCCCAGGGTGATGAACTAGGCCTAATATAACCTTTCTCCACCAAATAATCTAACTACGTCTTCAACTCCCTCAAGTCAGCTGGAGCCATCCTATATGGAGCCTTAGAAATAGGTCCAGTCCTAGGCACTAGATCGATAGTGAACTCAACATCCCTCACTGGTGGCATACCAGGAATCTCATCCGGAAACACATCTGGAAACTCTTCTACAATAGGAATACCCTCTTCACCTTTCTTTTCCTCACTTTCAACCTCTTGAACACTACACAAAAACAAAGGACAACCCTTCTTAACCAGCTTCTATAGTTTCATTGCAGACACAATTCTCAACCCCGAGCTTTTCCCTTCCTTTTTATACACCACTTTGGTCTTACTTAGGCTAGTCAAGGTGACCTTTTCAGCCGCACAATCAATTTTTGCTTCATACTTTCCCAACCAATCCATACCTAGAATCACATCAAAGTCATTTAAGTCAAACTCGATCAAATCAGCCAGAAACTCAACCCTAGAGATGGAAATAGGCACACTCAAAAACAACCTCGAACAACTCCTCACTTCCCCAGACGGAATAGACACATCTAGAGAAACTGACTCAGGACTCTCTAACCCGAGACTCCCAACAACTTCCTTGAAATAAAAGAATGCGACGCCCCTGAATCAAACAAGACTTTTGATCGCGAGTAAAACTAGGTCGTTGGGACTACTAACCCTAACCAAATTAGGAATTTATAATACCTAAACTTACATTAAACTAGTTAGTGGCAAGTAAAGGGTCGAACCCAAAAGGACTAAGTGTATTAATTTGTGCTAACTAGACTACTAGGAAAGTTTGTGAGTTATAGAGAGATTAAACCAAATACTACTAAGAGCAAATAACTAAAACTAGGGAAAGTGGAATCCAATCACATCAATGTATTAAACAACATCATACAAATAGATGAAAATGATCTCGATTAGGAACATCAACACATTTAACTCACTCTCGCACAATTAAGCATGTTAATTATCTTACTAAACTAATTCACTCTCGTGCAACTAGCCTAGTAAAGGTATGGAAGAATTAGGGCTCTCAACCAACTCACTCTCGCATAATTGATTGAAAACACAATTAAGAGCATAGAATCGATTAGCTAGAAAGATTCTAATCCATAAAAGCATCACCCATACACAATAATCAAGAAACAATTTCATACTAATCAGAATCAATCATTCAATTCATTAATATAACCTTCATCCAATTCCCTAGAACAAGACCTAAGCTAACATAATGAAGAAAGACATAGAAAACAAGGTAAAATAAGAATAAAAACAAGATTAAACAAACAAACTAATTAATCTACTCAAATCAACAAACAAAAAGCAAAAACTAAGGATTAAGCAAAGAAATAAAGATTAGATAAAGTTAGAAAATACTCATTGAATAGATGAGAAGAAGTTCCACAAAGTTGCTTCTTCAACCTCTCAAAAACTCTATGGAAATCCAAGCTTTCTCTCTCTACACTACTCCTAAACTAAAGAGAGAAAATCCTAATTTAACCCTAAGAGAGAGAAAATATAGGCTAAACTAATCGAATCAATCTCAAAAAATGTTGATTGAAAGCTGTGAGAAAATAACCCCAAAGGGGTATTCATAATACAAGTTAAATAAAAATAAAATAAATTAAAAAGAAATAAAACAATTAAAATAACTAAACTAAAAACAAAAAAAAACAAAACTACAATAAAATAAAATAAAAGAAAATGAAAAGGAAAAAGAAACCCCAAAACCCCCTAAACCCGTCCAAACCCACGAAAACCAACAGACCCCCTCTCTCTTCTTCTTCGAAAATTGCTGCTTTCATTTCACCATTATCAATCAGCAAACAATCATCATAATCACCGTTCATCAACATTATCATCATCTAGCATCACCAAATCTCGGCCTTTGGATTAATTGAAGGAATCGTGGCCGTCCGATTTTCTTTAAAATCACGTGAAAAGCTCGTGATTGACCCACATTTGCGCGCCCACACATAAGTCACGCACAGGTCGCGCAAAGCTACTGCCTCAACTCTGATTTTGGACTACAATTTGTGCGCTTTCTGACAGGGCTGCGTGGCCGCGAATTGGCTGCTCTGTGAGTTTGGGTTGCTGTGAGTTGCGTGGATTAATTGGTGAGTAATTAGGTTGTAGTTTGGTGGTTGATTATGGGTGAAGGGCTGGTGGTTGTTACGGGGGGTGATTAGTGGTTCAGGTGGTTTGGGTGGTGTAGACACCCATTTGTGTCTCCCCAAAACCAAACCTAGTGATGAGTACCTTTCGCGTCGAATCATAATCGAATGAAGTGAAAGTGTGGAAAGTCTAGTGTTGCGGATAGTTTTAATTTCTTTTCTCTTCTCTCTGTTTTAGAAAACTTATTTTAAGAAAACATCCAATCCAGTTTGGTTGGTCAATAATATGGGTCAAATAGTAGTGTAGTTGGATGGGGCTTGACAAGAGCTTTCCAACGCTATATTATAAGCCCTATTGCAATGAATATTGAGGAAGTTATGCCCAATTTACTGAACTGGGCCCAGTTTGAGCCTTATATGCGGCCCAATGATCTAGGGGAGGGCCGAATATAAATTTATCATTCCTAATGCAATTAGGAATGGTTTTAGTCTTCTAGATTCTTCTAGAAGGTTCTTTTCATTCCTAATTCAATTAGCATTGATAAATTGAATTTTGTTGACTTTTTAGAGTTTTAATTAGAATCAAAGAATATTTTTTGAGGAAAAAACGATTTTATCCTCCTGCACGGCAATTTTTATTTGATTTTAAGAAAACGCATGGATTTCTAAGTCAGCGCCAAACGCCAGCTGTAGCGCCTGGCGCCAACCTTAGCGTATGGCGCTAAGGTCAGCGTCTGGCGCCAACTCGGTTTTTTGCGTCAGAAATCTGTTTTTGATATTTTATCTTTTTGGCTGATTTTCTTTATAAATAACGTCGTAAACACTCCGTTTTGATGGACAAATTCGCACCAACTCTCATCAAGATTCTCTTGATTACTCTCTCTCTCTCTCTCTTTTTTCTAAACTAGCCTTCTCTCAAGTATAAAAATTCCGCATTCATTAGATTTAGATACACCTAGCCATATTCGAAGTTGCCTTCGCCCTAGACGTGAAAGGTTTAATTTCTGAGGGTTTGGTCCTGTAGACACCTAAAAATGTCTCCCCAAAACCAAACCCGATGATGAACAACCTTTTACCGCCACTATTGGTCGGGTTCAGTATTTAATCCCGAGAGTGCTTAAAAAATCGTATTTGATTAAATTCGTATTTTTGAACAGTCCATGGATTAGTCTTGATGTTTGGTAAAAGCATAGTTTTAATTTCAGCCCAAATTTATTATTTAATTTCAGCCCGAACCTTTTTTATTTTATTGTTTTATTATTTATTTTTGGCCCAAACATTCTATTTATTTTATTTATTTATTTTCCTATTTTAGCCCAAATAATAATAAATCAGAAAAAAGCCTGAAATTATAAAACGGCACTTGAAATGCTGAACGAAATTAGGGTTAAAAATGTATTTAGACGGAAAAGCGGGCTAAAAATTCCCGCGCCACGGAAGGTACCCACCGTGTCACGGGATCCATTCCCGTCTGACGGTGGGATTTCCCGTGACATGGGAATTTTCGTGTCCTTTCCGCGTAAACCCTTAACGCTTTTTCTTTCCCATTTACTAAAAATTTCCCGCGTCACTCTAAATTTGCACCGTGTCACGGGAATGTTTCCCGTCTGACGGTGGGACTTCCCGTGTCGCGGTAGAGTTTTCTGTTTCGCGGGATACTTTTTTAGGGTTTTTATTATTTTAGGGTCTCGTGTGTTCCCTCAGCACATTTTCTCTTTAAATACCCCCTTATTTCTGATGTACGGAGCACCAATTAATTCACTATTTTTCTCTCTTCTATACTTTAGCCTAAACACTAGCCTACCCTTCTTATTTCAAAATTCCTTCCTCAAGTACTCCAAGGAGTCCATACTTTACTCGTGGTTTTGTCCTTAAGCCAAGGCGTGAAAGGTAAGATTGTTTGAGGGTTTGGCCCCAAATCAACTCTACTTTATTTAATTTAATTTAATTGTTGTTTTATTATTATTTCCTTAAAGTTACTAACTCGTTTATTATTTTGTAGTTGCAAACAAACAGAAGCAAGGTGATAATTATGTTCCTTTTATTTCTATTATTTTTCAAACGATTTTATATTGTTGGAGTTATGGTTAAATTGTTTCCAATATTAATGTATATTCTATTATATTTATTGATCACCACATTGCATGTTTAAAGGGAATATGTAATTGACAACCACGCCTAATAAGATAATTTGGACAACCGGTTTAGGTTCCTTTTTTTAACCTTGTTAATTAATTCAAGTGGTCACAAATATTTTAGAATTACGTGTTGCATTAATATTCAACCAATTTAGCTTAATAATAGTTTGGAGCGAATTAAATATTTTGTTTGTATGCCTTTGAGATCGCAGGAATGTTTGTCACTATAAGAATCGAGTAGAGGCCAATACAGGCGAATGTGACTCCATGACTCACTTCGTACCATCATCCCCGATCCTCCTTTCGTGGTTCCGAACCATATGGAGTTAGTAATCTCATGGATTATGAATGGGGTGTAACCTTCACGGGTCAATCATTGTTGCCTATCGTTGTCCCTTATCGTGGTTGCCTTTTTATGATCCTTGAACGGTTTACAAGTTCCTTAAAAACTTGTTGGAGGCTCCCTACTTTATGTGTCCCTAATCGTATTATGTCAAATCCCACTTCCTATGAGTGCCAAGCATATTCACCACATGCTTTTACGTAGGGGCACTTCGAGCGACGCCTACAGGTCCCAAATCTCTCTTTCAATTATTTAATTTAATTTTTTTGTTTATTATTTTCCTTGAAGTTACTAACGCGTGTATTTTGCTATTAGAAAGAGGTACGAGGCATC